GAAGATTCTTCTTTATAACTTTCTTTAAAAGCTCTTTTCTCCTTATATAGAAAGTCTCTAATCTTTTTATCCATATTTATGATTTCAACTAAAGTGCCCTCAGAAATGATTTGCTAGGTCTTTCCTAGCTAAGCCTCTTGTCTCTTCTAGTTTTTCTAATATCTCTCAGATTTATTTTAAAATTTTCTCCATATGTGACTCTTGATCTTGCTTTTGTGCTTTGAGATCTTCTGTTCTACTTTCTGTGTCTTCTTCTACACTTTTTTTTGTATCTATATCTTTTACTTGGTTTAACTTATATTAATTCTAGGTGTTGCTTCTTTCTTTTAATAGATTACATTCCCAACTTGAGTTATTTTTAATTCTATTTTTATTTATAAAAGTTTTGTTTTTTTGTCTTTCTTTATTGTTCATATCCTCTTCTATAATAAAGGATTGGCTGCATTTGTTTCAGCTTCTTCTTTTTTCTTCTTTAAGGTTTTTTCTTCTTTCTTTTATTTTTCTTTCTTCATTTACCCAGTATACTCAAAAGTTGTTGTACAAAATTGGTTTTGTTTAAACTATATTTATTTCTTCTTCTATTGCAAACATTATTACTGCTGTTCTTCTTTGGTTTCCATTCTTGTTTGATGAAATGTGAACTGACTTCACTTCTTTGCTTCTTAGACATTGTAGCAGTAGGACTTTTGAGACATTTCTAAGTAAGTCTGTCAACTTTACTGTATATTTTCTTTGGTTTTCTCTTGCTTTATAGTTCTCTTCCTCTTTAGTTACTTATACTAGTTTGTTATTATTGACTGGCATGGCCTAAGAGATATCTACCTCTCTGGTTTTTTCTAGTTGCACTATTGCTAGAGCTTTATAGTTTGATCTCTTAATTCTTACTATTTGGGCATTCTTAAATCTTTTGCAGATATATTCTAGCTTATTTTTGTTAATATTTAATGGCAAGTCCTATATTGTTAAGTATTTATTGTCTCCAGACTTCTCATTAATTTTATTGTAATATATATCTGCTTTGGTCTTATCATCTTCCTTGTTGTATATTTTTCTTTCAGTTTTTATTATATTGGTTCTTTTTTCGTAATGTTTTTCATTATGTATTTTTTGTTTTCTTTTTTTGTTTTTTCTTTCTTCTGGTATTAATTTGTACCAATCACTTTTCTTTTTGCTAATTCTTTGTATTACTTCATTTCTGCCATATTCACGGTTGAAGTTTACTTCAATCTACAAGTTTTTTTTTTTAAAGACCTCTTTAATTTTTTTAACATGTTCATTGTCTTTTAGTGACCATTTGATGAATTTTATATGTTCCTCTTGCATTGTATCTGGTACATTATATACTGGTATATTAGCCAGTAAGCTATTATTTCAATTACAGTTTCTTCTATTTGGTGCCTATATACTGTCTTCAAGTAGTATTCTGACTATGTTAATTTCTTTTTCAATTTTCAAATTTCTTTTTTGTTCTATTATTTCTTTTTTAATTATATCTTGTATTGTGTCTATTGCTACTTTTATCATTCTTTGTTCTTGTTCTTTTAGCTGTTCTTTAATTTTCTTTTCTTAGGTAGGTGACTGTATTTCTGTTTGTTTACTAATAACAAAACTTATCTCTGTATCTTTCTTTTTTTTGAACAATTGTAGCATCTTCTTGCATTTCTTTGCTGTTTAGTTTTTTACTAATTAAATTCATTCCTTGTGTTGCTTCATGCAGTCTTTTTGTTTCTTTTCAATTACTATCTGCTGTTGTATTTTTTTTCTTTCTCTTATTGCCATCTCTTGTATTTGTTTTACTAAATCTAATTTTTTATCTGACTGTTCTTTTTCTGCTTTTTTTACTATTTCTTTTGCTATTTATAGAAAAGCTATCTTATTTGTATCTTGTCTAATAAGCATTGCTACAATTCTATTCTCTCTATCTGACACTACATATGTTTTGTTAGCTTTATTAAAAAAATACTTATTATTTATATTGCTTAATGTACAGTATGCTCTTCTTATACAGATTGTCTTTATATTTCCTCTGTACTCTTTAGACAAACTTTTATTTATTATTATATCTATTCTTTTTTAGAATATTTTATTGCTATATATTGGTTTATTTATTTATATATGACTACTTGCATGTGTTGTTGTTTGATATTTTGCATAACTTTTGTGCAATATAAACAGATCTATTTTTAGGATCAGATGACAATTTCTACAATTGTCATTTCAATACTAAAATTTTTTCAAAAACTTTGTTTTTCTCTTATAACTGCTTTAATATCACTGTATTCACTCTAGTTTCTAAACTTATTTAGTGTATTTTGTGTTGCTGCTTCTTTTTTCTTAGTGCTACTTAGATGGTTTCTTATTGGTATTTGTAAGAAAACTCTATTTTTCTTTCTTATCGATTTTGTGTCAAAATGATTATTAGGGGAGTTACTATTTTAATGTAATTTAATTGTTAATAACAGTTGTTATAATACAAATATTATATAGATAATTATCCAATTTTTATCTTTAATAAAATTTGTGCACCCAACCTACCACTTGGAAGGTTGACAACCTGATCACTTTACTAGGTCATCATATTTCTTGAAAAATCTATTTTCATATTATAAATTTTATAATAAATTATAAAAAAAATATAAACTTTCATAAACTATATTGCAGAATTTTATTAATACTATTGCTTTTATATCTTAGTTAAAAAAAAATTCTAATATTATTCTAAATTGATTTATAACAACTCTTTTTAATAATCATCTGAACCAAATTGGTACTGAAAATAGATTGAAAACATTAACTCCAAAATGGATAATATTCTTAGTTTTATATTAAGTAAACTTGTTGTTGATAAAGCTTAAGTATGTAATACACTAAAGAGTAGATGAAATTTGAGTAGTTTTTGCTTTGGGTTAAGCTTTTTGTCTAATAGATTCTCTTACATATTCAGTATCCAAATTGAAAGAATATTCTGAAAGCAAGTAGAGACAAATCAGTTCTCTGGTTAAGAATATTAGAAGCAGAAGAAAAAGAAGAATAACTAGAAAATTTCTTCTTAACTTGACCCTTATAACAATGATATATCTTTTCTTTGTCTTTTTTTTGGGGGGTTTTTTTTTTTGAAAAGTGAAGATTTGGCTTACTCTTATTAAAAGATCAACATTGTATATCATTTTCTTTTGTGATTATGTGCTTGTTTAGACATAATGAATAATAAACATAACAAACATGTAAGTTAGTCAATCATGTAAAGCAGATTGGAAAAGAATTTAATTTAGAAAGACTAAAAATATATTGAAATATGTATATATTCTGAGGTCATGTATATAATATTTTTTAAAAAAATGGTTATAAGGGTTTATGAAGAATTGGATTGCTTAAGTACATTTCAAACCTTAATACAGTACTTCATCTACTTGAAGAATTCTTCTATATGAAAAGTAACTAGTTCAAATTCTGTCCTATAAGTGAATATAGTTTTTATTCTGATTAAGAGTATTTAATTTTTAGAGAATAACCATAATCTATAAAATAATAAAAACATTGTAGTAAATAGCAATCATAGAATAGAGTTTTATCCTGTTAACAGGTTTCTTTTTTTATTCTTCTTATAGATTAGTTTTATTTTTTTTTTTATTAATTTTATTTTTCTTCTTATTTTTTTATTCCTCTCTTCTTCAATTTTAAAATCATTTTCTTTTTTTTTGTTTTTCTCTTCTCTATAAGAAGATGTCTTCAGATTAACTGTATCCTATTGTGAGATGGAAATTAGACAAGTCATAATTTCTAGTCCTAACTAGATTAGTATAACAGGTTGCATTTAGGTATCATTTGGTAGCCAGATGATGGTAGACTTATAAGTTAAATGATATTCTATATTTACATATATAGTTACAAATGGTTTAATAAAATACTACTATGACTGCTTAAGGGAAAAAAAAATTTTTTTTGATTTATATAAAAAAATTCATTTTAAAAAATTTGTCATTTTTCTTCATTTTGCAAAACATAACCCACATAATTGTTTCCTAATTTCTATTCAAAATTAACTTTTTAACCTTTTCATTCCAAAATAGTAATTTTTTAATAAATAAGCCTGCACAATAATAAAATTAATTTCAAAAACAATTTTCACTTAATGGGTAACTGTGATTTCATTAAAAAAATTTCGAGTAATTCCGGCCAAAGTATTGATCACCACTCTTAGTCAAGAATCTGTCAACTAAGATTAATATGAAATTACCTTCTGTGCAATAATAAAATATTTTCCTTACTAAATTTTGATACTAGAAAAACCCTTTCTAACCTAAATTAATAGCAAAATCTAACACTAATCTAGTGGTGAAATTTTTTTAGCGAAATTTTTAGGTTGGTAACGCTAGAACAGTTCCTGTATGAGTTATTATTAATTGAAATTTAAATATCCATTTATCTCATTAAGCAATTAATTAAATTATATCTATCTGTTTCATGTGCTCGTTCGCACGATATTATATTATCTGCATGCTCGATAAGAATTAATAGTAACACTTTTTAATCTAACCGGATTGCTTTCGGCATATCCTTGTTTAGCCATCGCTTCGTTGACTTCTGTCAACTTAAATATACTCAATTTCACAATTTCGAACTTTATGAAGAATATATGCCATACGTAGAAGTTTGTTGTAAACATTTTTAATACGTAGTGGCTTGTGGTGTAGATTTTTTATAACGGCTTTTTATATTGCAACTTATTATAACAGTTTGTTGTACGTATAATAAATTTGTTATATAATACTGCAATTGTTATCTACCAGTATAACAGTAATATAATGGTTGTATAATTGTATAACGGCTAAAAATAATTGTTTAACATTTTATAATAATGGTTTTGTAATGACTATGTAAAGGCTATGTAATGGTTTTGAACATTCGAATTAATTCAAATTCATACTTAAACCGAATTGATTCGAATATTCATTTATTCGAATGTTCGATTCCACCCTCTACTTCTTTCTTTAAATTACTTGAAATTTGTTCCCATGTATCACTATATACATCAAAATGTCCCAAAGCCATCATTTTATCCGATAGATCAGTGAGACGTTCTATACACTTTTTACGAGCTTGTTCCTGTATTTCTTCAGCACTAAGTTCTTTTGGTTCTGGTGGTTGAGAAGGTTCAGATATTTCCATGGTCCTTCCTTTAGGTTTTTTTGAGTATTGTCTTGAAGTGCGCTTATTTTTAGATTTAGCACCCGTGCCACCACCCAATCGTTGAAAGGTATCAAGCAATGTCTCACCAGGTTTCATTATGGTCAATAGCTCTTTCCATATTGATATTCGGTCTATTGGATCCTTTGAATCTTCTTGGGCTTCTTTAAGTCGTCTTTCTTTTTCTTTTTTTTCATGAGCGATTCTTGCTTTTTCAATTTCTTTACAGGATATACCCTGAAGCCAATTGTCGTGAAAGGCATCAGGGTCTTTTTTATTACGAATGTAGTTTCCAGCTTCATCAAATTTTCCTTCTTCTAATTCAGCTTTCATATTAAAAGCCTCGATCACAGGTTCACCAGAATCATCATCAAACATATCTTTAGAAGAATAATCTTGACCAACAATTTCATCAGACTCTAAATATCTGACTTTTTTCTTATCAGAACTATATGAAACTTTTTGTTTCGATACCGAAGAAGGAACATCTTCTGCAAACATATCTTCCAAATCTTCCTCAATAGCTTTTCCCTTAGTACCTTCACCAGTACGACGGTTGAAACGTTCTGTGCCATCATCATCACTGGTATCTGTTTCGTCACTGGCATAACCTTCCAGTTTGACAGCACCACGACGTTTTTTTGCGGATTCCAGAAAATCACTGTGATCGAACTCGAATTCACCTTCTACCTCTTTGTCTGTTACAGAACTTTCGCCAGTGAAACGAACACGTTTTAAAGTTGTAGGTTCGGACACTTCACTTGACTCTTTATCGTCAGAATAACTTGCTTGCTGCGATCTTTTAGTCATTTTATCTGCTTATCGTTATGAAATGAGTTATCGGTATTTAATTTTCATAGGTTTAAAATATCGTATGACGTTATGCGAGTGACCAATTAAAATGTGAATAGCTCTTGAATAATCGTTATCGCATAACCCCATATGTTGACTAATTAAAATCTTGATATTAATGAAGTCAAACTCAAAGCCAGTCTATATAAATTCTCTCAATATAGTGAATATTAATGTAACCGATCATTTCATTGACTTGTACGTGGTAAAATCGCTCAAGGAAACCTTTTTATCAGTACACCACACAAAATTATGATCTTCTATTGGTCAACAATCACGTGGAAGTGAATTGTTTTATGAAAGGGAAAAATCGATATGTAAGTTTCGGAAACATACGTTATATCGTGTTACACCAAATAGTGCATTCTGATTGGGCAACCTTGGTAAATCGATACAGACACAGCAACACGTGATCTAATTGTCATATTATAGGGTGTCCAGGATTATGCGATGCGATAAGCTAAATTATGCGAGGTCAATTATGCGATGAATGCGAAATAGATTTAAGATTATACGATCTTTGTAGTGTTATGCAACATATACTATCCTCAGGATATTGATCAAAAAAATTGCCTCGACCTTGCTCGTATTTTGAGTTCGTCCATTTTCTACATCGGAACTTTCCGGAATTATCTCCCGCTTTAGCTATCGTATCTTAAAAATCATATCTACCAATAATACTTGAGCCAAGTGCTCTGAATGCTTTTTTTTGCTTAAGCGATGCGAAATATGTGCATAGCATAGCATAATTCTGAACACCCTACCATATTCTAACACTAACCTTAACGATAATGCTGGTCATTAGCTATCCCCTTATGAAAATCGATACGTAACATGTGACAAGGGTCTCCAATCAAGATGTTTAGAATTGTGCTACAGCTATTTTATCATGTATAAATCAAAATTAATATATGTTCAAATATAATATTTATCTAACATTAGAATGATTCTGATTGTCTAAAAATTCAGTCAATCTTAACATGGTTTCTAATTCGTTTGATGTCGCCTTTCCATGAGCAGACCATCTTATTTTACAATTTGAATCAACCAAGAACGTGTATCCCCTATATAAATTATTCATTCCCAATGCTTCAAACAAGATTGGATCCTTATTGAAAGTAAAAATATAATTTTTCTTTTTTGAAATTTAATTAATTAGTAGAGTGGGAAATACGAATCGTAAAACATTTAACATTTAAAAACCTTACATACATGAAGTGATTTTGGAATATTTCTCCTTAAAGATGGAATCACGAATAATTTTATAATGAAAGTCTTTGCAAAATTCGGCTCAATAGTCACCTATAATTATTATAGAAACTAATTTTGTATCACCAACGTAAGAGATCAAAATTTAAGCTCTAAATTTATAATAAAAACCTTCATAAATTGTATCTTTGCGTGATTAGAGAAATTTTTGTAAAATGTTTCAATGAATGTTTTTACATGATCCTGGCAAGAGTGTCATTTTATTAATAAAAATACGAAGTATAATTCTATACTATATTAAGTTGAACCGACAAATACTTCTCCATATTGATTGAAGCTTATGACGACTAAAGAAGTTTGATTTTGGAGTAGATCTGTTGTGTCGATTTTTGGATTAGATAAGGAACACGCCTTTATATTAGGCATGTATAGTGCTTTCTACGTATTTTTTTAAATTAATATCGCAGGTTCGTTATTCTATAAAACTATTGGTTTCCGAAATAAAGAACGCGAACCTCAGTATTGACTAACTCAGGATTAGCTTCCCATAACTTTTCTCCATGTTTTCTTAATTCAGTTAAATCTTTCCAGTATGGTGTATTATATTCTTTTATTCTAAAATATACAGTAAATCAAGCACGCATCAAATGTGGTTGGACGAATAAATATTTTGATAACGCTTACAACTTTTCTCTAACTTTCTTATTTTTTTCTTTATCAAATACATTTCTCAATCTTTGAAACCATGTTAATTGATTAATTTGTTCATTTGATCTTGGTATCTCTTTGACGCCTAAAATTTGTGGCGATTCCTTTAAAATTGGGTTTGAGCCTTCTAATGTGTAAGGATTTATTATCACTTGATCATTGCTTCTTTGGATGGCTTTGTTTGCTTGCCGTAAAGAAATGATGTTTGCAAAATGTCTTATGGGGACAGAATGCCTAAATACTAAGAATTGGGAGGTTAAAGATAGCATTTTAGTAAATGTTATCATGTTTGAAATTCTTTTTATTGGCTGATATGTAGCTTGCAGATCTTGATATATATAGAAAGAAGATTGGCTAACAAATCTACACTGCATCACATAATCTTATTTACTATCGCCATATAGAATTTTTTTTTTTTTTTCTTTCAGAATGAAAATTTGTTACAATTATGATAGCCATGATTATTATCATTAGTAGAAAAAAGAAATTTCAGCATTGATAGGTATGTTTAAATCCTGGACAAACAACTCTTCGTTATCCGATCGGAGTTCCTCGCGTATATTATATATAACATACATAATATCTGCGATTTGAACTGATCGAAAACAAAAAAAACTGCTCAATATGAACTATTTTTTAAGTAATGATTTTGTTGCAGGGTCTGAACCTTCATTCCAGTTTCATTTAATCGAAATTGAGAATGTTGAATATAAGGCCGACAATTCATGTTCCATTAATTCACCTTTCGTTCATTTTTTTATTATCTGATTTTCATTTTTTATTTTAGGATATGAAGTTCATATATAACTTGTAATTGAAGTTGCCATATGCTATAAGTTTGAATGTTTCAGTAATTTTGAAACTTTAAATGTTAATTGATGTTCACTTACTTTTAGGAGACAGAATTTTTAATCCAGAGTTTAGTGGCCAATTTGGACGAAACATATATCTAGTTAGTTGTAAACAGTGTTGGAAATTGAACAATTGAATCATTAGATTTGTTTGTCCAGTTAATACTATTGGTTAACTCGATTGCCCAATTGCTAACACTGGTTGTAAAGCATATAAAAAATGATTAAGATAATTACGTCTTTATTAATGGTTGCCAAATTAGGTTGTTATGGGCCAGAATTATTTTAATGCTGGCCGAATAAAGTTGTTAATATGGTTAAATAGTTAAACTATTAGAAAAATTTTAGACAGTTTCAGAATATAAAAATTTCAAAAATTTATTAATTTACTATAAGTAGATTTGTTTTTTTTATTGTGATGACCAATTCGGATTAATAATACGTATCTATAGTTAACATCTATATCACTTATTACGTAATAAAAACGCTATGGAGAGGTCAGACTGTACAAACAAATACATATTTTAAATTTTTATTATCAACTGGTATATCTTTATCTAAGCTATATAATTTAGCATTAGATAAATTTTACCAATTAAATTAAAGACAAGAGTTACATTACCTACTTGCAGGACAATTAATTGTCTAGTGACGTGAAAAACACTCTTGAAAACTACTCTTATGTTGATTGGAATATTTGCCAACTGAAATACTTCATCAACTAACTTCTATCTTTACCAATGCTCCCGCTTGCAACATTGTTCAAATCGAGATCCTCTAGACCACTCAAATTATTTGGTCTGGTCAATTTATTTTGAATTTTATTCGAATCACAATTTATAAAGGCAAATATGAATGCCTTTAACAGGAAAATCGGAAATCGGATCTTTTGTTATCTACGTGCCAAGAAATCTAATTAATAGCATACATCACGTAGTTGGTTAAAAGCACATGTAATCTGTAAAGGACAAATTTTTTAACTTGACATTTAGTAATATCAATATCGACCCAATTGAACAAATGAATCGTATATGGTCCCGTCACTGTAATCAGTAAACTGGGGTAATAAACGACGATTTCGATTTATTGATTGTGATTTTCATTTGTTTTCAACGTTCATAACGATAAAAAATGTTAGCAAATTATTTTAAACTTTTACATTTAGTTTTTTATACTTTACATCCTTTATTAAGTTATTTCGAATTAGCAGCTTTTATTTCATAAACTTATTAAATTACATGCATTGTAAATAATTTAAAAACAACTATTGCTTATTAAAAAATTAATTTCAACAAAAAAGCTTTTTAAAAAATAATAATCCCAAGTTGTAAAAATTAGTCAATCTTGATCGGTCTTGCGTCTTACGTGATATAACCTATATTTATACCGGTATAAAAAAAAGTAAAAAATAAATAAATTGTATCATAATTGAAAAATAAAACAAGGACGTTCACAGTAACTTGGCGCCACGAAGTTACTGTGGCCACGAAGAGCTTCCAGTTGTTTCATTTTATGTATCCGTTTACCACCTACATACGATTAATACCTGACTCCCGTTCACCCGACCCTCTTAAGGAGTAATTACCTTAATTAGTCAGTCCTGCGAACGTAAATCAAAATATCAACCGAAATAGTAACCTCTAAAACCGTTGGAAGAAGAAATAAACGTTCACAACAAGTCGTTTACCGTAGGTTTCAGTGCCTAACTGGTAACTGCAAGTTGCGGCCCGATGTGCTTTTATTGCTGTCCACCTTCGGTTAAAGAGTCGTAAAAGACACATACAATCAATCAACATTCTACTCAGTTACTGTATCATAAACCAGATGTAATTTTCATTAATAAACCCGCCAGAAAAGCAAGCTCTTCCTTCCACTTGTTCCGCAGACGTGTTGCAGTATTTATTAATAAAAACAACCTAGACATCTATGACACATTACCTTATATGTATCCGCGAAATAGTTTTTAAAAAATTATCTATAAGGATATGGTAAAATAAAAAGTTTTGTTAAAGCATAAAGAGCGTAAAAAGACGAACATGATGGTAAAGAGTGTAAAAAGATGAATATGATGTATTGTTTTGATTCTAACATGCATTCATGTCATAATGACGTATTACATCATTCGTATGATCTACACCAATTAGATCTCAATTTAATACCCGGGTAGAGATTTCCTCAACAGGTCCAGTCTCTAGTTTAGCATAAATGCATTTGTTAACTTTATATTCTTGTGTTTAGCAGAGTGTAGATTTGTGCTTGTTGTTGACAATGAAGCCATGAAAATGAGGGTGATTTAATAATTGCCGCCGAAAAAATATAGTACGATATACGAGTTTTTGGGGGCTGTTTCCTTTAAAAATTGGTGTCTCAAAAATTAAAATCATTCATAATTAGCGGATTACTCTGTGTACCGACTACTCGAACGTTACAACTACCCTTGATGGTCTGAAAAAATGAAAACCGCGTACACGATATAAATATAGTACGTAGGCTTATTTGAAATTTTCTGGTTAATACTTAAAAACCGCATTTTTATAAATTTTAATTTGTGCAGAAACTACGACTGTTATATCAGCGCATGATCGTGCATTGACAGCACGCTCACTTGCTAATCCTGCCATCACAGATCCAAATGATTTTACTAGACTTGGTCATGTGTTTCCATTAAGATATCGTGAAGGCTGAGTTTTAAAAAGAACTGAGACTTTAATAGGTCTGTTCTACTGAATTTTGATTAGGCTAATCTTATTGTTAGATTTATGCAAATTATCAGGTTTGCAATCTGTTGGCGTTATTTGTAAATTGGTAAGGGACGACAGGCAAATGGCACGTCGCGATGATTGCCGTGCATTTACAGATGAACATAATTTAAAACTAATCACTATCGCAAATCTAGTAATGGACTTTTTGAAATTTAGACATAAATGTAATTTATTGTAAATGTTAATTTATTATAGTACATTATTTGTTAGACTTGCAAAGTATTTCTTTTTAAACATCAAAATTGAAAGTACCCAATAAACTTTATGCTACATTTTTCAATGGTGTTTCAAGTTCTTGTGCTGTCAAAGGCTAAAAATGTCAAGAATAAAGTTAATTATCAAGAATCAATTTAATTTTATGAAATATAATAAATTTAATTATGTTTATATTCCTTACATTAACTCCATCCAACTCCACTCCTGAATTTAGTAATTCTGGTGTTTCCTGTAAATATGACGGTTCTTCTTCCTCTTCGAAATTCAATTCATCATCCAGTGCTTCTAATTCTACATAGATTAAATTATCAATGTCAATAAACTTCTTGATGACATACAGCTTTTATTCAATAAATACCCGCTTCTAATTCTTCTTCATCGATATCCTCGGGAAGTCCATATGTTCTACCGAGAGTTTCTTGTATTTCATTAGCTTGCTCCATCAGATCTTCCATATCGTCTTGAACATTCTATTATATTAAGATAATTTGAATATGCCTGGATATTACATATATCGATATTACTAAGGATTTAATATATACCTCTATTTGACTTATGTCAATTTTTTTATATTGTTTTTGCATTTCTTTATTTGCTATTTGCATTGCATCAACGGTTGTAACCACATTTCGCAAATTCTCGGTCGTAAAAGATGCCTGTTCCATATTGAAAGATTGTTGTTGAAGTTGGTCGCGTTGACTCTCATACCTAATTAATAGAATTTTTATGATGAATTCGAAATAATAAATTTATTCTTTCTATAGACAAATCCATACATTTTTTTTTGCTTCAAAACTCTCAAAGCTTTGTTTTTAACTGCATTCTATTAGAAAAAATCATATATAAATGAACCGAAGGCTATTCGAAAAGTGTGAATTAAAACACAGGAAGATGCTATTTCTATCAGTCATAAATGAAAGACTTTGAATCAAACTGACCTTTCCTGGTCCGTCTCTCATTTTTTTCATTTGATCTTTATATTTTGCTAATTCTCCATCAAGTTTCTTTATCTTAACTTCAACCGCAGAAACTCTGCCGTCCGTCTATATCGATAATAATTGAATGCACCCTTGTTAAAATCTCACTCAAAGACATATCAAACTAGTAAACAATAAAAGTTCAAACCGCGGTAATAGCATCGTTCAATGTTGGCTTTGGTGTCTTTTTAGAGGTCCCAAAGAGACGATTCATTGTTCGTTATTGATGTTTGAAGTTCTCTACTTTCATGAACATGAATGAATTTCTTTTTAATCGGCTCTCATTAAATGTGATTGGATAATATTTTTAGATTTCTATTGTAAAATAATTTTTTTATATGCTGCACACCGGGTGAAGGATCAGTCGTGTAACGTCGATGTATAAGGATGATCCGTGACATTAATTAATCCTCCCATATAGTGATCAAGGAATTATACGTACAAAACCATCTGCTAAATTAAG